CGCCGGGAGGGAGCGGCCGGCTCGGGCCCGTCGGCCCCGCCGCGCTCCCCTCTGCCGTCCTTCTCCAAAGCTTTTTGCCTGAGGTATTGCTGGGAATGACGGCTGCCGTTTCAGTGGGTATTAACTTGCTGGTCAGGCCGTCTTGCTGAGAACGGCTCTAGCTATGGCGCTTGCTGCGAGGTGCGAGTGGCTTTAGTGGCCCTAGCTTGAGCTAGGGCTGCAGCGCTTCGGTTGCGAGGAAAGTGTGGTAGAAGCAGCTTCCTTCGAAGGCTGGTCAGGTTGGGTAATGCACGGTATTAACTTTGCGTTCCTGTTTCTCTGAAGTCGTGCTGTCTGCAGGACCTGCCGGCCTGCCTCAGCTGAAATTGTGAAGCCAAAAATTTCAATCAAAAATTCAATTAAAATCACATCGAGCACAGGAAGGTGTGTGTATTGGACTGCTCTTCACCAGTGTTTGGAGCCTTTGGGGTGAAACTTCGTGCTCAGTGAACTGCAGAATAGAGCAGTGTTTTGTGCATACAAAACACTTGCTTAGGAGACCCACTCATGGCTAACCGGGTTGAACAGGACTGTAACTGTCATGCTGAGTCTTTGTTGCTTGTTATTTTAATTCTTCTAAAGTACAGAAAATCATGGAATTTGGGACAGGCTTACTTAAAAGGTCAAAAACCATTGGTAGGAAAGGAAGGTTGAATAACTCAACCATAATGCCCCAACAGCAGTTAAGCAGGAACACTGGAAGAAGTCTAATCTGGAAACAGATGTCAGCTGAAGCTGCCAAAGCACTTTGTTTTTAAGCTGGAGAGTACTATAACTGTCAGAGATGTTTAGTAGGTTGCTCTAGAGGTCTTTAATGTAAGTGCGAGTGAAACGTTGCATTCCCCCTTAACATGATTATTAGCAAGATACTACTGTAGGTAGGCTATTTGCAAAAAAAAAAAAAAAAAAAAAAAAAAAAACAAATGGGGTTTTAAAAAACTGATGAAAGAGTATAAATGTGTACTGCAGCTCTCTACAAACATTTTGTTTAAATTTAGGTACATCAATAGTAATCCTAGATATACTTAGACGAAAATAGAGAGACCCTAAAGAAGAATTTGTCCTCCTGGGTTAGAATTTGCTTAGAGAGTGATCTCTCTTGACCTGGAAAATGCCCTCTGAAGGCAGGGGATTGATTGCAAACCCAGGGCTCAGATGGATTTAGGCATACTTTTGAGAGTTTAAAACATAATTTTGTTTCAACAGATCTTCCTGTCCTGAGAGATTCATTCTGTGAGCCCTGAGTGCCATTATGGTCAAGCTCGCTTGCCTTTGGGGCAAGTAGTAAAAGTTGTAGAGTTGCTTGCTTAATAGTGAGTCCTTGCAACACATCATCGCAGTAAGTTTTTGGGAGAACCAACAGTTCTGTTTGTTGCTTGCAGGAGTTCAGCTTCGTTTCAAGTAACTGTTTTATAAATAACCATACCAGGCATAAATAAGCATATTGAGCATAGTTGTACATAACGTTGCTTTAGCTATCTTAACAGCATGGATACAGTGAAAGTCTTTAGATGGCTTGCAACCAACTGGTAAATGCTGTGCGCATCTCCTTAGCATTTTGACTTACTGATGAGCAACACTATAGGGAATTGATTTCAGTGTAGTTTCAGTGGTACCATCATGAGACTAGGGTATATGTGTTTGTGAACTGAGCCTTTTTGGTGTCCAGAAAATTTTATTTCTCTAGGTGAGTGGATAGGAATAAAATATAAAAAAGACAACAATACAGCCCATCCCCTCCTGAGCTAGAGCATGCCTGGTAAGCTGATAATTCAAATCTTGTAAAAACAGCTTTGCTTATTTAGTTAAAGTTGCTGGCAGATCCACTTTTCTGGGGAGGTTTTGCCTCCCTCCACCTCCCTCCCAAATTTCCTTAGGTTGGCCATTCAAAAGCGTGTTGAACAAATCTGAAAAAATCACTGAGGCTAGACATTTTATGAGTGTTAATTTATTGATGCGTCTCCCTGTACATGAAAATACAGTTTCTGAACTGGTTTTTGAGGTTCTGTTGTTTGACCTAACATTGTTTTTGACCTTTCCAAACTGTCAGCCCCTTTTTGGAAAATGCTTTTTATTCTGAAAACATATAAAAAAGCTAACTTTATATAATGCAGGTACTGAGAAGCTGATCGTGGTGTTCTTCCGGTAGAGATCTATGGGTAGAATCCATTCCACTTTCATTTTTTTTCCTTAGGTCCTTTTCCTGGCAGAGGTACGGGACCAAAAATTGCTACTGTAAAAGCAAAACGCCACTGCGTAGACCAAGCTCTATGCAACTGAGCAGTAGCTGTTGACAGTCCTAGGCCCACGTGAGAAAAGGAGGTGGGCTTAAAGGCATGCTGCTGCCCACTACCATTAATGTGATGCACAACTAAATTTTGCTGCTCCTGCCAATGCAGTTTGTTAAAGGGTTCGCAGAACTGGATGTTGGCCCTGCAGCTGTGATCACTGGATTATCCTGGCATAGACCTGGAAGGGTACAAGCGTGTACAAATCTTTTTCTCCTTCAAGTTGTAGTGAAATTTTGTGTACTTTGTGAATCTCCTATTCTCTGATTAAGAAGCATTGCTCCAAATATGTTCTGACATGCAAAATCAGATAATAGCACAAGCCAATGCTGCATCTTTTTTTCTGAAAATTGTCGTCTGTTGGATATATGTAGTGCAGTCTTTTAACTTACAGTTCCTCTGTGGTTAATTTATTATCCCTTCTTATGTTCTTTAACGTTCTTATTAAAGAAGGGGCTTTTCCTTTCATAGTTTCATATAGTGCATTTCCTTTTGATGTATTGTTTCTGGTTTTCTTCCTACATGCTCTGTAGGAATTATTTTTTTGTGTCATTCTTGTGCTGAATGGCCTGAAAACTCAGCTTCTTCTGATTACTTCCAGTGTTCACTGTTTTTTGCAACTTTTCCCCTTTTAAATATAAAGCTAATAAAGCACTTAGAAGCACTCATTTCTGTGGTAGAGTTGTCCTTTTACTTGCATCTAGCAAATGTTAAAATTTGTTGATGACTTTATATACTCTTGTTGTTGCTGTTGTTCCTTAGGAACGATTTCTAACTGGACCAAAATTCCACCACCGCTTTTCAAAAAAGTTGTCATTGTGCTGATAGATGCTCTGAGAGATGACTTTGTGTTTGGATCCAAAGGTAAAGAGTTCATGCCCTATACTACACAAGTTATTGAAAAAGGGACATCCTACAGTTTCATTGCTGAAGCAAAGCCACCCACTGTGACTATGCCTCGAATTAAGGTAAGCCTTTTCCTTCAGTTTAGGGTTGTTTCATATACCTTGAACTTTGAGAAAATTGGGAAGACTTGGATCTTGCATGTGCTCCGAGTGGCATAAAGAGCAGGTTTGCTGTTTTACTGCCAATTTGTGGCTGAAACTTACTCTATTGTGATAGCGCATGCCGTACAGTACTGATTTGCCGTGACGCAGATGTGCTGCTTGTAGGAGAGTTCAGACATCAAAGGAAGGCCGAGGGGCTGGGGAACAGGAAGTGGTGGTAGCTTCCACTTAAAAAGCCTTTGTTTTTCTTGTTTTATTCCTTTATTTGGTGGCTCCATGCTAGGACGATCTGTGAGAATCAGTGTAAGGGCAGTTAAGGTTGTAGTGCTGGCTTAAATGGTTGACATCTCTTCATTCAGTGGGAATGGTAATCGTGGAAGGCGATAGCCTCTCAGTCATCAAATTTGCCAATATCTTCTCTCCAAGAGCATTTTTTTTGGTGTTGGATCTCCTAGCAAAGGTTATAGGAGCACAATTTGGCATACGTTTAAATTGTCGTAGGGATGCTCGCATGGAGTTTAAAAAGAGAATTGTGCCAAGTTCCAGGTAACTAAAAGATGAACTGTGCCTCTAATATCAGAATGCCAGATCATCTGAGCTTCTCCATGCTGTATCTGAGTAATTCATACAGTGAGATATCACTATTTGGTGATTTGTGCATTAAAGAAGCTGAGGGAGTGCTCTGGAAGATCAGCCAGAAGGCCAGTGAGAGGGTGAGGTGTGTGTGGGGGGGGAATTTTATAACTCTTGACAGAGTTATAAACTTCATTGCATTTTTCTTTGGAGTCTTGCTTACTGTTTTGAAAGTCCTAAACTGTTAATATTGTGTTAAAACAGTTTACTTAGGCTGTTTAAACAGTCTCTTGGTGATTTCCTGAACCATTAAATTAAGTAAATTCAACTGAATTTCGACTAGGAAATAGTTTTAGTGGCTACTAATTAGGAAAATATTATTTTTAACCTTTTTGTAAAACAACTAGTACTGACTGATGCCAGAGATCCTGAGCTGACAGCTGTTGTGATACGGCATGACAGTTTATACGTTCTTTCACTTCATTATATTCCTTTATTGAAAGTGTAACCTTTTCCCCCTCTGCTTCATTATTTCTTCTTATGCTATTATTTTCTTCTGAGCACCGGAAACCTCTTTAAGTTTATATAATAATATAGCTCTTCTCTTTTGTTGTTTTGTCTAGGCTTTGATGACTGGTAGCATACCTGGTTTCATTGACATTATTGTAAACCTCAATTCTCCAGCTCTGTTGGATGACAATCTGATAAGGCAGGCAAAAGCAGCTGGGAAAAGAATAATATTTTATGGTGATGATACTTGGGTTAAATTATTTCCGAGGCATTTTGTGGAGTATGATGGAACAACATCCTTTTTTGTGTCAGATTTTACAGAGGTGAGAGGCTTTTTATGATCTCAAGCTGAATAATGAGTGTAGAAACACATACTGAAGAGTCTGAAGAAAGAATAAATGAATAAAACTTAAAAACTATCATTTTTTTTGAAATATGAACCTGACGATTAAATAGAAATTGTTTTTTTTATGTGTGTACTTTCAGTACTGGCAATGTGGAGCTAAGGATTTCACTCTGCTAGTGTTATCAGCTATGGGAGGTGTATGGGTAACGCACGTAGTAAGAAGCTCTGTAAGGTTTCTAAACAATCACATGATTTACTCACAAAACTTCTCCTGGTGGGAGATTAGACCATGCCCTTTGTTAAAAGATTCATATCCGTGTTTCCTGTCTACCACATTTGCGTTCGTACTGGCCATCTTTAGAAGGCCTGGTAATATATAATTTTACTCTCTTAAAAGAAATGCTTTCTATAGCTATTGTATAATTTTTGTAGTTGTGAAATGAATATTGTTTCAGTATGTTAGCAAAGAGGGAGCATGGAAGGTAGATGAAATAAACTGTGAAAAACTCTTGTTCTAGGAATGCTAAAAGGGTAAATTGGTTCAGCAATCTTTCTTTATATTTTGGACCTTTGACTTGTAAAACCTCAGGCCATTAACCTGCTGTTACTTGTATAAGTATGTTATTATCATGTTTAAGGAATTAAAATAGACCTAACGTGGCGAATGGAAGTCACTTTTAACTGGGTACTCTGATGAAGAATTGCAGAAGCTTCAGCATGGAGTGGAAAAATGCAGACGTGATCTTTGGTCAGAGGTTTTATAGCTCTCAAGCTCTTTATGCAGTGTTTATACTTTCTGAAAGTTTTTTAAGTGGAAAGCTTTCATAGTTGTTCAAGTAGTTATATCGAGAGTCAACAAGTTAGTGTTGCATTTGAAATGTTTTAAGTCGTTTTAATATCCAGGGAGAAATGTGTGTTCAACTAAAAATGGATTGTCAACCTAAGTAGAGAACATGCCAGCTAGGCCCTAGATAGCGCTCTATGAACCTTCTTTATTATTTCTTGGTATGCGGTCAGTGATCTTTCCCACAAGAAATACAATCCATTTGTGTTTACACATTAGCAAAAAATTGAGTTGAAAAAGAGGGAGTTGGTTTTTTTCCCTTTGTTTTCAAACTCCAAACTTCTCTCGACTTACGTCATGTGAAGTGAAGAGTCAGGAGCGCAGAGTATGAAAGTGACTGAAAATGTCTTTTAAAGTATCTGGAAGCACCACAATCCTATTTTTCTCTGCTTATATGCAGTCTGACACTTCATAGCCAGGAGGGAGTGAAATGGCATGAAAAGAATGTGTTTTGTAAGACAGAATTTTTGACTCTGCTTGGCATTGAACTAATCAGGCTGATTTTTTTTTTTTCTTTTGAATTTGTGAGTGACAGGAGTTCTCACCAACTTCCCTGGAACTTTTATGGGTGGTACAATCTAAATTTTTCCTGACTTTTTATGAGGGGATTTTTTTTTTTTTTAGCTTTTAATTGTTTTCCTTTCATTTCTGAGGTTGATGATAATGTTACCAGGCACTTGGACAGAGTGTTAAGGAGAGAAGACTGGGATATCCTAATATTACATTACCTAGGATTGGACCACATTGGTCATGTGACTGGGCCAAACAGCCCATTAGTGGGACCAAAGCTTCATGAAATGGATAACATCCTCAAGAAGATTCATATTGCTCTTCTTTCAAAGGTAATATATCATGTTCTTGGATCAAAATCTGGCACTTGTAGATTAGCTTTGCATTAATATTCCTTGAAACCCTTTTTTGTGGGTTATAGTTTACTCCTAGTCCAAAGTGAGTATTCTTTGCTTTCCCTGTCCCTTCTCCAGTTAACCAGGTAGTGTAGCCTTTTTAAGGATTTACTGCCTGACCTTAGTAAAGTCTGTTCACACTCTCTGTTGAGCAGTTGTGGAAAATAACCTGCCATGTTTTGTGGGAAGATTGGGGGAACTGATGTAGTTCTCTTATTTTTCATGAGTTAAAATGGTGGTTGGTGTATTTTCTAGTAGTGAAATTCAACTGGAGGAACAGGAGGCATGTATAGCTCATGGTTTTCCTTTAGGTAGTTGTGAAGATGTATCTTGTTCTCAGATATTGAAAAGATTCAAATTGAAATTCATTGATGAATTGTATTCATCAATGACCTGGATGAAGGGACAGAGTGCACTCTCAGCAAGTTTGCTGATGATAGTAAACTGGGGGGAGTGGCTGGCACACCAGAGGGCTGTGCTGCCATTCAGAGAGGGACCTCGACAGGCTGGGGAGATGGACAGAGAGCAACCTCATGAAGTTCAACCAAGGCGGCAAGTGCAGGGTCCTGCACCTGCCGAGGAAGAACCCCATGCAGCGGTACAGGCTGGCGGCTGACCTGCTGGGAAGCAGCTCTGCAGAGAAGGACCCGGGGGTCCTGGTGGACAACAAGTTAAGCGTGAGCCAGCAACGTGCCCTTGTGGCCAAGAAGGTCGACAGCATCATGAGCCGCTGCACTAGGAAGCGTGGTGCCAGCAGGTCAGGGGAGGTGACCCTCGCCCTCTACTCAGCCGTGGGGAAGCCTCACCCGGAGTACTGCGTCCAGTCCTGGGCTCCCCAGGACAAGAGAGACACGGAGCTCCTGGAGCGAGTCCAGAAAAGGGCTACTAAGATGGTGAAGGGACTGGAGCGTCTCTCCTATGAGGAAAGGCTGAGGGAGCTGGAACTCTTCAGCCTGGAGAAGAGAAGGCTCAGGGGGTCTTAACAACGTGTATACGTATCTGAAGGGAGAGCGTCAAGAGGATGGGGCCGCGCTCTTCGCACTCGTGTCCAGCGATAGGACGAGAGGCAGCGGGCACAAAATGAAACACAGGGAGGTCCATCTGAACCTGAGGAAAAACTTCTTGACTGTGAGGGTGACAGAGCACTGGAACAGGTTGCCCAAAGAGGTTGTGGAGTTCCCTTCCTTGGAGATGCTCAAAACCCGTCTGGACACAATCCTGGGCAATGTGCTCCAGGGCACCCTGCTTGAGCAGGGGGGTTGCACTGGATGATCTCCAGAGGTCCCTTCCAACCTCAACCATTCTCTGATTCTGTGAAATGACTGTTGTAAAAAGCTTTTTTCTTATGCTAAATGGAGCACACAGATTGTCAAAGCTGAATCTTTTTTAGAGTTGGAGACTTAGGATGTCATCTCATGAAATGATTTGGGTGTAGAAATACCAAGTCCTAACTCCAAGCAGCCTGAAGCTTATTCTTTGAGGGACTGGAATTCAGAATAGGTGCTCATAAAATTTCTGTATTATTTTTCGACAGGCCAGTGATTTCATACCAAAAGAAAGGAAAAATCTGCTTGTGAAAGTTACAATTTAATCAATGTTACTGCAGTGCTTTTGCGATAGTTTGTTAATATGTTAAACTTTCTACAAGTTAGGTGCAAAGTTTTATCTCCATTTTAGAATATGGAAATGATAAAAGCACTTTTCTTTTAGATACAGCAGGTAGTGCTAATAACAAGAGACTGCAAGGACAGGCCACACTTATGCCTCTGTTTCTCTTTCTTCAGAAAAATAAACATCATTTAACATCAGTCACGTCAAATTTCTACCCCAAAGACACCTGGGAGACTGGAGAAGAAATTTGAATATAAACATCCAAAATTTCTCTAGCCTATGTTTGAATTTAAAACTTACAATCTAATATGGACGCATGTAATTCATTTTTTATTTGTTCTGTTAGTTTAGCCTATTTCCTTTGACTGCTTAAATCTGCTCCCCTGTAATAAGATTTATAAAAGGGATTATTGTTTAATTCATAGCTAAAAACTCAAAGAGGTTGAAGAAACTGTGAGGAAGACACTTCTTGGTCAATGCTGTTGCTCCTGTACATCCTGATTGTCTTTGCATCACAGCATGATCGCATGGTCACAGCATGAGGACCTTTATGTATTCCTTTGATTGTTTTCTTCTGACTGTTTAAGTGATTGTTGTTGCTGTTTGCTGTATAGTGATAGGTATGAGTGTCTTTACTTTTTAAAAAGTAAACAATATTACTATATTGTTTCATAACACTTCACTGAGGACATCTCTGCTCGTCTGCCTTAGGTGTTGTGAGCCAATTGAAAAAAATGTTTTTCTAGACATATTCCTATATGAAAATAATAAAAATGGAAAACTATGTGTATGCATTTTGTTTGCCACAGTGTTGTAAATTTATTTCTGTGACTTGCAGGAGGGAGAGGCTTCTCTGCAAAACTTGCTAGTTGTTTGTGGGGATCATGGGATGTCTGAAACAGGTAGTCATGGCGGTTCTTCAGAAGGAGAAGTGCACACACCACTGCTGTTCATCAGCTCTGCTTTTGAAAAGAGAAGTGGTAAGGATCAAAAAATATCTTACTTAGACTGTATCCCGATCTCTAATTCATATTAGCTCTAGAGTTGTTGCTGAAAAATAGTTTGGGGTACCTCCTCCTAGCACAGCTAGGAGGAAGGAATGAACTCACAGTTCATTCTGTAGGGGGCTGTCAGGGCTTCCTCTGTGGGACTTTTATGTTACTTAGTCAGGGTTTGCATCTGTGTCATGCTGAAGCTGAAAGACAATGAGACCTGGATAAGATTAGAGTGAAAATCTTGTTTGAAGTGGGTTGTAAGTTTTGTCTTGAGTAGCCAAATATTTCCTTGACCTCCATGCTTCCCTCTTTGAGAACCAGGATAGAGGAATAAATGCTAATTTCTTCTGCTGTGAGGAACAGCAAAGAGGAGGAATTGGCTTTGTGAAATAGTAGGAGATTGCAGCAGTGGAGACATTAGTATTGATTGCTAAGTATCTAAAGACAGAATGTTGAGGAAGAATGTATTTGCTGTATTGGCCAGGCAGCTCATTTTACATCATTAAAATGAGTTTATCTGTTTATGACACTCACTTTCTACTTGTAGAATATAGCTTAAGGCAACAAGAAAGGAGAGAATGCTCTAGTGGTTTACAGCAGTATTTAGTCTAACATATATACCTTCTTGATTATAACTAAGCCCTCTGAGTGAATCAGAGAAGTGTAGTTATAACAGGAGTGAATATTTTCTTCAAAATAACACTTCTGTCTGCCTTTCAGTCCACCTTTTGCTATTGCCGTCTGACTTCTTTGCTTTTAAAGCCTGCCTGCAGAACCTTGGTTTGTTTTTCCTGCTGGAGGTTCTGCAGTGCAGCCAAAGTACATTTATCTTCCATTTGTAAAGCTGGTATCCAGCTGAAACAGAAAGCATTGCTCTAAGAACCATTGAACTCTTTTCAGATTAAAAAAAGACAAAGTCAAGAGCTGATCCAAGCTCCCAGGTAAGTTTTTACTTTATAAATGTCACTAGTACTTGCTAACTGTCAGGCCGCTTAAGCGTACATTCTGTAAATGCGATCTCTGTTCATTGTGGTTAGTCTCTGTGTTAGGTTTAAACTAAATGTGCATTTTTACAATCAACAATGAAATATATCTAGTCAGCTGTCTCTGGGATGAAGTTAGTGAATTGTAATGATGTCCATGTAAACATTTGGTAGCTTGCTTCTCATTGCTTCAGTAATCAGAATTGTAGTGATTGTTCCTTATAATCCTGCTGTAAACAGACTACATTATGATCAGTTTGGTGGACCTCCAAATAGTAATCCTATGGACTTTTGCAGTTAGTATGCTATCAAAATATTACTTGTATAGCCTTCTACAGCGATGCTTCACTGAGGATTGGCTAATTTAGAAGTATTCGGTAGTTTGGCTTTTTTGAACCGGTTAAAACTTGCCTTTGAAGGTGTAAACTGAAAGCTGCTGACATAGAGGTACTTATGCAAAAAGGATTTAGGGATTATAGATGGCTTTCTAAAGTATAGGAATAATCACAGCTAGATGTGAAATGGGAGAACTTCTAATGCTCTTAAAGGGAGCCATGAGAGTAACAGATACCGTGTGCAGAGTTTTTTCATGTACTTAAGTCAAAACACTAAATGCTTTGGTTTACAAAGGGACCTAAGTAAAAGCATAGTTGGAAAACACTGTTATGTAATGAGTAAGGCAGGCAAAGAAACAATGACAACTTTTCTTGGCATGGCAATCTTAAACAAATGAACTATTACTTAGGCGAGTGAAATCATGTGCGTAGGTGTCTGTGGGACTAAGGACTATCCTGCTTACTGCAGTAGGGTAGTGACATCCTGCAGAGAACCTGTTTAAAATTACTGGTTTAACCAAATGGAACTCCAGAAGTTGAATTTGGATCTTTTACCTGATATCTAGTTCTGTTTGCCGAGCAACCTAATACTAATTATGTCTTTAGCTGTTGCCATGAGATCAGGAAGCTTCTAGCATGCTGCCAGCATTATCTTAAATTCTTATGCTTCGTTACATGTGTAAAATCAGCCTGTGGTAGTGCTTAAATCAATCTGTAGTTGTCCTTTCTATTCTTTGTAATACAGAAATTGTCAAAGCCTTTCAGGATGCAGGCTGCCACTTGCTACTGTGGTGGTCTCCTGAACCATCTCTTTTCCTATTGTTACTTGTGTAACATTCATGTTGTGTTTACAGTAGGGTGAAGGGGGTAGTATTTGATGAAAAAAAGAATAAATTCTGGTTTTGCAGCAGCTAAGGACAGCAGATGAAAAAAGTCATAGAGCTCTCTCTAGGTCAGTTGGAATATCTGATCTAAGACATCCGAACAAATTTTGAAAATGGCAAGGTGGCCAGCACTATCTATGCAACTAGAATGGTCCTGTGATTGAAATATTCCCCTTTTATTTATTTATTTATTTATTTATTTTTGGATTCTAGGTCCTGTAACCCAACCCAAAGTTGTGCAACAGACTGATTTAGCCACCACATTGGCAGTAGGTCTTGGTCTACCAATTTCAAGAAACAGTGTTGGGAACCTTATATTGCCAGTTGTGGGAGGCAAGACAATGAGAGAACAGCTGCGCTTCTTGCACTTAAATGGGTTCCAGCTTAGCAGACTGCTGTAAAAGAATACACCTGCGTATGAAAAAGGTAAATTGGCTAAAAAAACCTAAACTAAATATACCAGAGGATATTTACCTACCTATGAGATTGTTTATAATACAGTTTGGGCTTTTACATTCTAGAGTATAGCATGACAATGCAAATTAGCTACTCAATTGAAAATGGTGCTCAGAGAAATGACACTGACTTTATTCTTTACTGTTATCTACTCTGGCACACTGCATCTGAAAAAAGTTTTCTAATGGCCAGTACTGCTGCCATTTCTTCTTCTAAAGAACAGAAGTAATGATGAAACAGTAAGACTATAAATGAGCTGCCAGTATAATTAAGCTCAGTCTTTTTATACCTGTTATTTACGAGGTGTCTCGTATAGAACACTGATTCTGAGAGTTATTTGGATCCTAGCACAATGGAATGAATTTTCTAGTCTAAAAAAGTTTCAGATAATGCTGGGAAGTTATTTAGGATAAGCTTGTCTTTTTTATTTCATCTGTATATGTGAGTTTCCTTAGAGAACCTAGAGAACTGGAAAGTTTCATGTTAAAAAAATACACATAGGTGCGCACCTGTGTGTTTGTATGCATTCAGAGAAGAGAATAAAAGACATGAGGGAAGTTGGTCCATCCTATGAAAATCTAGCATTTGTTTAAGATGTGTGATACATAACATAAATACCCAAATTAATGTGATATAATTATATATGTCAAAAAAAGAGGAACTAGACGGATGGTGAAGGTTAATATTTTATCATAGACAGCAGAAGATAATATTGTCTTTAAATGGTTATGAAGCTTGAAGTCCTTGTCACTTCAGTGATTCATCAAGTTTACAAGTCAAGTGACTGGAAGGGAATGCAAAGTTGTGTTACAGCGATGAATAATTAAAGTGGGTAACAAGGTTAGTTGTAGCAAGATGATCAATGTAGGTCAAGAATTAATTACCTTCCAACATCATGGCTGCTAATCATAATTAAACACTGTCTGGAAGTCTAACCAATAAGTGCTGCTTACAGTGGGGAAATGTTAACAGTAGGGCCCATACTCCATTTCTTCTGTTTTTTTGCCACACATTTCCCCACTTGACATAAATGGGTAATACCTCTTACTGTTAAGAGTTCAAGATATAGCTATATCACAGAATCGCAGAATCACAGAATCGTTTAGATTGGAAGGGACCTCTGGAGATCATCTAGTCCAACCTCCCTGCTCAAGCAGGGACCCCTAGAGCACATTGCCCAGGATCACATCCAGACGGGTTTTGAATATCTCCAGCGAAGGAGACTCCACTACCTCTCTGGGCAACCTGTTCCAGTGCTCCGTCACCCTTACATTAAAGAATTTTTTTCTCAGGTTTAGGTGGAACGTCCTGTGGTTCAGTTTTGGCCCATTGCCTCTTGTCCTGTCGCTGGGCACCACGGAGAAGAGGCTGGC